TATGTGGCTTATCATAAAAATATTAAGATTCAAGTCCTAAGCTGGAAACTTAGCACGAGGCTTGAATATATTCTCACTTTTCACCAGCATGAACATTTAGGCTAAAATGTTTATTCAGTATTTTGTGATAGTTTTTCACTGTCTTCTACCAAAAATTCTTGTAAGTGTAGTCTAGCTCTCAGTGAGAAATTCGCTCGGAAATTACTTGATAGGATCTAAAATTACATCCAGTCAACCTAGCTAGAAAATACAGCATGAACCAAATACTGTTTTCAATTTCAATCTGACAAAGTTGACACTCATGAATTCAAATTAATTTATTTGGGTCCAACATTTACAACCCCAGAAATTTTTGAATTTAGAGATGGCTTTTAATGTTACACTAAAACAAATCCTTTACTAATCTTATGTTTTCCGAATCCCTCTGTATGAAACAGCGAGAAGTCTACAGTGTAACACTACCATTTCTGTAAAAATTATCCCCTGAACTGAGGAAATATTAAGTAATAATATAGCAAAGTCTTCTTTTCAAAGGATAAATTACATTTCAGTCTTATTGAAAGGAAATATTCTCTATATTCCTCCTACTTGATTTTTAATGTTGCCCTAGTGTCATATGTCATATGGTTTATTCTCACGGCATAAAGAATTTTGGTAGATCAGCAAATCTGCATTACACATAGAGTGGATAGCATTATACCATTCAAATTCTCCAGCACTGCTCATCTACTGCTGGAGACTATAAATCTAATGAATGATTTGAGCATAACTCCCTTTTGCACACTGCTGAGCACAGGCTTTCCTAAGTTCTTAAAACGAGGAGAATGAGAACAAAATATTCAAGCTCAATTTTTTGATCAATTGTACTTCTAGCCTTCTATGCCAGAATTGCATTTTGTGCTTAAATTCTAGGTTCCAAAAAGCACACGATGAAACACATTTAATTGACTGGAAGACAGTAGTTACATTTCCTTTTCCCAGTAAGGTCAGTAAAAAGAATGTATTAAGAACGTCTTCCTACTCCCCAGTTTTCTTTTATCTACATATAAAAATTCCTGAAGATGTAGTACTGCTCTCTGCCATTCTAGTTAATTAATTGCCATGTTCATTATAGTAATGCCTTCAGGTCTATGAAAGAATAAATCTCCACTGTGCAAAGTGCTGTACAAACTCTAGAATACTGTCTCTGCCTTCCCAGTTTCATTTGACAAGATCTACATTACAGATGGTGAAAACATTACATTGTTGCTGTCCACTGAAAGGTGCCTCCTGATGCTGGTAAAATACAGTGAATTGCACTACAAAAATGCATTATCACCTGCTTTCTTTATCTCTGCTGCTCTCAACCTTACACGAGCCAACATGAAAAGATTCCATGATTATTTGGCAGTGACGAGGAGGGGAAAGAACCACTCCCAAAAACAAAACCAGACATTAAAAAAGAAAACTCATAACTATCAACTTGTTATGCATGACCCCAACAGTACAGCTCAGTGATGAATTACCTGTGACATGCTCTGAAATCAAAGCATAACAGCAAGTCACAAGGAAGCCTGTAGTTTGTAACACAATTACAGGTATCTTGAGAAAAGGAACTAAACATAGGAGCTTAATAGGATTGTGAATCTCTTCATAAGTACCTAACCACCATGTTTCGAAAATGGAAAGAAAACAGTGAGTCAGGATCCAACTAAATATATCAGAGAATTACAGAGTCATGAATCAGAATTTGACTAGTTATATTTTTTTCCATTTCATTTTCAAATGCTTTGGGGTGCAGGAACAGAGGGGAGGAGGTGGGACAGCTGAACGGCTTGACCTCCTTTCCCTTTTTAATGATCCAGTGCTGATTTTCAGAGCAGAAAATTCATTATAATAATACTGTCTGACTAAAGAAAAATTAAGAGAAAAAAAAAATTAACATTCTCTAAAGTCATATCTTTATCTCAATACTGTCTGAGTAGCTAAGGTTAATTTACTAAACTGTAATAGTATTAGTATTACTGTACCAGACAGTAGTTTGCATAGTTCACAAGTAAAGTGAATGTTGACCGCTCTTACATATCAGTTAAAATCATCTGAAGCTAGAAAGTCTATATTGTGAAGGAACAATTAGACTGCCAAGTAATAGGTACCAGTTTAAAGCTATGGCCATTTCAAGTAATACAGAGTGGACTATTTCCTCCAGCTAACAAAGCACCAGCACTATCCAAGTACCAGTGCCTGGTCATTCTGTAACTCAGGTAGCATTTTCAATAAGACAAAGCACTTGGGATATTAAGTCACAAGTCTTGGCTAGTGTTTCAAGTCAATTTAAAAGCAAGTACAGGAAATTAATGTAAAATACAATGTTGCAATGTGTCCAGAGATAACGGAGAAGGCACACACCCCAGCTGGGAAGAACTGCAGTCAGAGTGTCTGGTCCTTAGTCTTCAAAAGGTCGTGAGGCAAGACAGAGCCGATATTCTGATAAATCTAGTTGCTTTTCACAGTCTCTTGGAGATTTCACGTGAGCACAAATGAATACAAGCCTATGTACCTTTGTTCTTAAATGAAAGGCACTTCTGCACTCCCCTCAATCAGCTACAGGAGCCTCCTTCAACCAACATCCACAGAAACAGTCCCCTATCCCAGGGGGAAAACACCCAACACTGATGCCATCAGGTAACGATTGATGAACTTGACCTTTACCACCTCATTTGCATGTATCGCAACCAGACCTCTACAGATTACCTCTGATCTCTAAATTTCCTCATGTGCTAGAAGCTGCCTTGGGGGCAAGTTCTTCAGAGGCTGACTGTTTAGCAGACGTGGGATATATTTCCTGGCTGTACTGTCCAATGCCCTCTTGCCTTGCTGACAGCTACAAAACAGAGAAGACACAAATATGGTCCCTGGAAAGCTATAACACCTTGAGTGAAACATTGGGATGGAAAGATAGCTTCAAGCATTTAATTTATTCCCTTCAGGAAATATTTCAAAGTCCTCATTGAGGAAACATCTGCTGGACTCTACGATAATTTTCCAAGAATCAGAATTTGCACAGGTATCTATCAAAGGATCATGCAGCTACCTTTTAGCTCACATTTTTAAAATAGGTAATATGGCATCATCTATGTAGTGAAGACATTCCAGAAGAAGCATGTAGCTGAAAGTAATTCATGAGGGTACACAAAGTGTTAATTTTCTCTTACAACTAAAAACTGTAGCATAATAGAAGCTGCCTGTGGCTCATATTGACATTATCTGGGCTCATGTTACACATTAGACATGGCCCATGAAACACACTAACCTCAAGGCAAAGTAATTCCTAATATCAAATGCTCACACAGAGACAGTTCAGAGTTGTGAAAAATACTTCCCTCCAACCTCAATCTCCATCTTCACTTTGTCAAATGTTATTAAAGACAGCATTAATGTCATGGTTCAAAAACTATTGCTTACCTAAGAATATCTCTCTTCCTCTGCCACAATATTCTATTTCTTATTCCCACTCCAGAAGGGCAAATATACAGTTATTATTTACGTAAAGGAGGAAATTCTGCCTTAAAAAGTGCTGACCACCTAAAACGGTGGCAAATTTATCAGAAGCTACTGCAAATAATATAGACAATTCAAACACTATCTGCAAAACAACATGTACCCCTGCTTACTGAAAGTTGAATCAGATGACCTGTTTACCCCAAGTTACCAGAAGAAGACAACTTGTAATAAACAGGGACTAAATCAAACAACATTCAAATAATGGGGGCTGAAAAATAATTTTGGATATAACCCTGGGTAGAAATACTTAATAAGGCTTTATTTGATTTGGCCACTTGCAAAAACAAGCATGGAAAATTTTAGAAGTGCCCTGTAGAATCCAAAGGATACACAGATTTCAAATATACATGCACTGAACAGATCAAGGTGAACAAAATACCATGTTCTGGAAATGTTATCTTTTATTTGCCAAGAGCAATGACTATGCTTAGAATGGAGTACTCCTAACAAACATTATCTGACAACTGTGGTTAGGTAGGCAATACTATTTTAAGCACTAAGAACAGTAAATCATATTTATACATGTTGCATTGTACATTTACTGCATCTTATTATCGTTGTAATAGAAAATCTGAGAAAATTGACATTTCAAGCATGGCAAAGACTGTATCTCTACTATTAAATCAAACGGACCTGGGAAAACTCTAGGTATTGAAGGCAGCTGGCATGGAAGAGACCTTGTTTAGTCCAATAAAGACTTTCAGCCTCTGCATGGTGACAGCTGGACACAAACCGGTCCCTGGGAATTTCCAGTTTCAAAACCATGCTGGGGAATTGTCTGTATGGCACATACAAAAGTGATGCCAGAGGACATCACTAGTACAGGTTTGCTAGTACAGGTGATTGTGCTCCAGCACCCAAGAAGACTCCTGGACATCTCTTTCTGACTTTTTAGAGCAGATGAAGCCATCAGAATCCTAACAAATTACCAGAAGAGATCTGGTACAGACTAGTTTTAAAACCAGTTGCAGGTTCAAGGAGGCAGCCACAGGACAGAATAAATGTGGCTGTTACCTCTACCACTTTTTGACCATGTCCACAAACACTTTTTTACAAATACTGAGTGTGCTTGAGTGAATATTTGCTTTTAAGAAGGATCTTTTGATAAGATTGTCTATGAACTCAATCCTTAACAGAAAGTGACAAGAGGAAGAGAAAAAAAATTATCCAAATAACCCATTTGGGATGAGTGCTTATCAGAAGAAGAATAAGAGGGAAGAGATAGGAGAGACTTTACATTGATAGGAGAGATTTTACACTGTATTCTCACTAAAGGCATAAAAATGCTTCCCTATATGTCTTCCACAAATCCTGAGCACCAAAACATTGTCAAGAAACAAACACAATGTATGCTTTCACTGGTATGATTCATAGTAATATATGGCATTCATACAGTAGTTTCAGACCTTGTGGTGTTACGTCCCATTTTCTTTTCAAGCACACGATGCTTTACTTACTAGTAGTAGTAGCAGGACAATATCGGGATTATCACATGCGCAGGCTACATGCATTGATGTCCAAAAATCCTCATCTTGATGATTCACATTTACACCTCTGTCAATTAGAATTTCTGCAGCAAATGCGTTATCATAGCGGGCACACTAGAAGAAAGAAGAGCAGATTAGGGATGGTATTTTACGAATTAATTTATTACATACAATCTTTGCTCCATTTAACATTTAAATTGAACAGATGACAGCCTGTAGTTAAACTGCTGTGTTTGTAAGGGACAACAGCTGATGAATCTATAGAAACAGTTGTGCAGAAACTACAAGTTCCGTACGCATGATTCACAGAATCCCTTATTGTTGGTGAAGAAACATTATATGAAGTATGATGAAATCTGCAGTAAAGATGAGGCTTTCTTTCAGTTCAATATTACCATTCCAAACTTGTGCATGGGCAGCACTGCATGATGATCACGATGAGTAGTGATGTCTAAGTGTATGCACGCCCACACATACATACGTCCCCGTGTACATGAATTTCTACCTTCTATGGAGTTCATAGCATTAAACCACACCTCTCCATACTCACTCCTATTTCCAAACCACTAGCTATACTGACTCCAAGTCTCTCCAATACATAAATAACCTGTATACTAAGAGTGTGTTGCGGGGAAGGGGAATGTTTTGCAAACATGTGTGTTTGCATACTTTGTTTTGTTTGGATGACCGGGGTCACTCATTCTGGTGAAGAAGAAAAAAGCTTAGCCATTGTTCTGAGCTGTGACTTATTATGAAAGTCTCTGCAGATAAAACTTTAAAAGACAATCACAGCAGCTAAGTTAAGATTTTAATTCTGGCCTAATGTACAATCTCAGTAACTCTTTAGAGAAGGATCCTCTTTCCTCCTCTGCTGAAGAGAGGCCACAGAGAAAGTAATTTTCTTTGTTACTTAGATGCTTCTCATATTTTCATACTATTCACATTTGCAAGGCATTGTTAAGCAAAAAAATTTCTAGCAAGCTTCCATACAGAAAAAAAGTATAGGTGTCACTGAGCCATTTTGTGTACTAATAATAGCTATAGAGACTTCTGTGATTAGTTACCAGTTTGAAAACAGCCTAGATTTGTAGCAGCAATTTAATAGCTGCTGCTCCTTGATTCTTGTTTAATGGATTTTGTGAAGCAATTGGTCAATGTCAGTCAAAGTTCCAGGAGAAAACTGGCACTCGTGTACTTTGTTAACAGGATAGGTTGGGCAATTGCCTGGGTGAATTGATATGACATTATGTGCTTCCCATCAAATGGGCAACTTGGGCAAGTACTCTTTTTTGGTACTTTTCCTTTCATGTAGTCTGATGAGAGTTCAGTAAATACCTCTGAAGTTCCCATGGCTTCCCAGAGATGCAGGGGTATTGGGATACTGTCTACAGAGACAGCAAGAGAATCTTTGTAAGTTGTCACATTTGATTTTCTTTTAGAAATGTATCACATTTTGGAAGTTAGTAGAAAAAAGACAAAGGAATTATATAATGAATCAGATTTTAAGTAAAATATATTTTCCATTCATTCTTGAATAAATACCCTACAAGTGGAAAGAATAAACACTGATCAGGTTCCCTTTTGGAGAAAGCAGCTTACATAGAATTATAGTAGTCAAACTAGCAGTTAGAACGGATTTGAGTGGGCTCTGAAATTGTAAAAAAGATGTATGCTAAGTTTTGAGTTCTTGAAGGAAAATAAATGTGGCTTATCTGTTTCTCTGCATCACAACTCTCCTATCTGCAGTGTTCCCAAATTGTGGTCAAATCCGAGTGTCATTGCAATCAGGTTTGCCTCTGTCTCTAACAGGACTGGCATTTTCCTGTAGATTAATTATGATTGCTTACAACTAACTCTGACTAAACTGAGGCAGTAGGTTACACAGAGTTCTCTATTGCAAGTTTCTTACTGCAGGAAGTTTTCCATCCTTTTGAAGCACATGCATGCCTGTGAATCAGCAGGCATTGATAGAGAGATACTGAATGGGACAGTGAAGTAGGGCATAATGCCAAAGATCAAGAAACGCAAAAAGACAGAGTTCAACTGCAGTTAAAAAGTGTACATCAGTCGAACTAGTCAAAGCAACCTAAAATCCTTAAAGATGGATTTACTTTTCTTCTATTTTAAAATACCAGTGAGACAGATGTCACATCAGCCACACTGACTGTCTCCTAGGGCTTTCAGCAAAGGATAAGATTTGGAATGCCTCAGCTTTGGGAATCCCAAAGATAACATCTCATAGGGGCTGCATTTTTAAAGAGTGACCGAGCACCTTTGTAGCAGGTAAATAGTTGGAGGAGAGAAAAGAGAACTTAAATTTTCTCTGTTTCAACTCATATCGCACCCTTTCCTTACCGAGGCCTCTATTGCACAGACTCCTTGGTAAGCAGCATGGCCATGGAAGATGGAAAACACTGATTAATTACACAAGGGAAACACTACATCTTGCAAGAGTATGGCGGCAGGTGTGCTGGAGTCTATTAATCATACAGGATCCTTTTTTTCATCAAGAAATCACTCTATTTTGTGTACATATGATGAAAAATCTAATCTGACTGTTCTAAAATGAAACATTATTTCAGCAGACTTTTCACTAGATCTGTTATGCCCTTGCATTTATGAAGTCACATTTATTTTAGCAGCATTGTGCAATCAAGGTTGGATTTAAGTATCTTAAAATAATTTCACACTGAATAGAAAGTATGTCTGCAACTGAAGCATCACAGACCAAAGTAAAGGATCATAAGACTTAGGCATTTATGATGTTTGCCATTGGCTTCATCAAGGCCAAAATTTTATCTCTGAAGTATTTCCTCTCCTTCCACCTGTCAGTCCTTCCTCTGCATGCCCTTACACCTTTCCCTTTTGGTCACTGTTTACAAATTATTTTACTTTTAACTTTCAACTACTTATCCTAAATTGCTATGCAAATAATGATAAAATAAACACAGATAATGTGTTAAATATCAACCTACAGGAAACTGGTGCAAGAAAATACGCACAAAAATAAAAGAAAAAATGTTACATCATGGCGTTTTTCATATAGGATCTGTGAATCTCTGAACCATATAATTATATCTTCAGAATCAAGCAATGTTTCCTTTGTTCTTTCTTGCTGCACAGACAAATTATAAATAAAACATTTCATTTTGTTAGTTAGCATTCCTGTGACAGGATCCATCCTTTCTTAAGCAACTTGAAATTGACCATTTATTTCACATGCATAGCTGGATGTAATTGTAATCACCATGGAGGGCAGCGTAGATAAAAAATTATTGCTAAGCCTTTCTTTTTGTTAATATGCCCAATCTGCTACTCCGTATCCCACCATATTTATCCACAGTCACTTACACTAATCTTCAATCACTCTTACCAGATGGAGCAAAGAGCCTCCTGAGGAAACAAGCATGTGTGGGTCAGCACCATCCTTCAATAGCCATAGCACTGAAATATCAAAGAAAAGAGGAACAAGCGTTAATGTAGCAATATACCTAATTCTGAGCTGTTAATAGGCTGATTCTTCATCATCTTCATTAGGAGATTCAATAATATATGCAAACCTCTCAGATAACATTTGCAAAACTATCATGTCAGCGCTTCCCATCTCATCTATTTTAATGGCAAAGCCTGGAAGCAAAGGACCTTTGATAATGGTGTTAAATATGAGCAGTATCAAGGACTTCTCAAGCGGACAGATGAGCCTGTCAGTTCTTTATGTAGGAGAGGGGAGGCGAGAGCTGGAGGAGAAACCCTGTCTCAAGGTCACAATTACCCGATTAGTTCATTTGGGAGCAAAATCACAGCCAACTGGTTTTATTTTACTTTGTAGAGTTCCCGTGGGATTTGCTGGCTTTTTCTGTAAATAATTGAAGCTAGTGTTCGTAACTTATATCACTTGAAATTAATCATCATACCAAAGCTCAACAATCTGTACTCAATTTAACCTTTCCAGAGCACTGTCAGATCACTGACGCAGCGTAATTCTTGAAATGATATTTGGAGTCAAACTCCACTCCTAGTTACATGTATCAAAACCTTTTGGAATGAAAACAGGCTTTTAAATGCAAGCAAACCGACAACCTTTCATACCACTGCTCACTCAAGTGCGAAAATTCAGCACTTCTTCCCCCACGGTCTTTGTTGCCTTTATAACCTTTTCACTCCAAATCAAAGCATCGACTAACTCATGCTACCAGTGCTCATTCCTGGAGCAGAAGAGCACAGTAACTACACCAGGCGTCATCAGGGGAATCCACACCGACATTCCAAACCTGTCTTCAAAGAACTGGCAGGAAGAACCCTTTTCAAAGGCCTCTCTCCGCAAGAATAACTGCCAGGAATGTTTCCTGTGTAGGCAACATAGCTGGTTCTGTCTCCATCATCTGGAAATCCTGGGTTTAATTTCTAGTTAACGTTCCTGGACAGAGTTGTGCAAGGTCTGCAAAGAAGTTTTAAGCTCTGAGTACTGCAGAAATCTGTTCCACTGCAGTGTCTGTACTATAGGAGGGCCATAAATTTGTCTAAAGTCTCGTCTAAATTTTGTGAATCTGTCAGGAGACTCATGTACAGCATCTCCCTCCTATCCATGCATTTTTGTGTGTGTTTTTTTCTAGAATACCTTGTAACTCCATTTTCACTGTACTTTTAAACTTCATGCAGAATTCAAACATTCAGTTGACCTCTTTGAAGGGGTTTTAGTGTGCAGACCTTACTGCAAATCTTCTCTCCCTAAATAGGTGTGCAACTGCATCCTCCTCAAGCATTAATATTTTCAATGTTCCTATGTTATGCCATCTCTTTAGCAGGCAAGAAAATATGAATTTTGTATTACACAAGATTTCTTAAGGCTCCAAAAGTAATTTCATTCTGCCAATCCCATCAGGATTTCACCTGAAAAAATTAACACTCAAAGATGTTTCCCTTCCTCCACCCCTGCTTTTCAGGGAAAAAAAAAATAAATTAAAATTAATTGCACTCATTTCAGTCTCCTAGACACTTAATGCAGCACTTTTACATAAAGTATTTCTTATGGGCTCTGTGTATAGGTTAAAAATATGAACTATGGCTAAATTCCACGTGTAATGATAATCTCATTTGCAAATAGGGGAATTAAGGCAGATAGTCCTTAAAACTGTGTGATTTGTAGGAAATATTAAACTGCCATAATTCTATTCTCAAGGAGGCTTTAACTGATGACAATGGTGAGAGTATATAATTTTTCAAAAATGATGTTTTTATGGTGTATTCTCACAGACTGTCCTGCTCTCAAAAGGTGGAAGACATGTTATCCACCATATGGCCCACTCTTCCCTTCTGTCAGCTCTTTTCACCTATGCCGCGTGTTCAATTGGACCTGTAAGTCAAATAAGTCTTTTTCTTTTTCTTTTTTCTTTTTTCTGGCAGGGTTAGTTTTTGACTTCATCAGCACGGCTGACTGCACAGCTCCATAAGCACAAGCAAAGCGGATACAACTGCACACATCATGTGGAGGCAGAGAAAACACATGGCATTTTGGTGGCAGAAGTTACACATTGAGTAAGGCTGATAATGAAATAACATCCTTGGTTTGTGCTTCTACAAGATAGTATCAGCTGATTAAGAAGCCAACCAAAAGGCTCTCTCCCCTGTTTGCAAAAGGACTTACATGTCATTCACCTCTGGCTTCTGCATCTGGTAACTGACTAACGGCACAAAATAAACCCAGCAAAAATAAAATGCAGCGTTTCCTGTTGGGTCACTGAGATAAACTCAATCAGTTAATAGCCTTGGGATCACCAGAACTGCCTTTTGGGTAAGTCCTTCTAAGAAAAAACAGAGGATGAATACCTCTCTTTTTGGCATGACCAGGACACATGGGAAGGTCAGAGGGTTGAGAAACTGCATTTCTGAAAAGACTCCACAAGAATTTCACCTGGAGCCTAAAATAGTAAACAACTGACAGAAGGAGCCTGTGGCTACTTGGGCGTAGAAAATGCAGACAAATTATTGGGGCTTTTCCTTCTGTTGAACTCTCAAAGACTTGGTTCTTATAGAGAAGGTATGCAAAATTAAGTAATGCCTTTCCAGATCCATTTAGCAACATCTTGCTGTTGAAACCAAAAAATGACAGACCATTTCTACATCCAAATTTAAATTCATATGAGTGAATGGGTTTTTTTGCCTTGTTCCCCTCCTAGCAGAAATGCAGATCAAGATCACAGCATAAGGAACTAATACATAAACACTGACCTTAAAGTAGAATATTAAATAATAACTATGACTATAAACAGTCAAGTCACATAACACAAAGAAAATAGGATAAATGGATAAAAGCTCAGTAGTTCTTTACTTTGACTGTTCTATTTTTCCTCATTATTGCATGTAGCTTAATCATTGCTTCAGAAAATTCACATCACAAAGACTACCAGGGCAAGATATGCACACTCTCCTTTCAGCTGGGCAAGAGTCTCTGTTCTGAATCAAGATTACGTGCTACATTCATCTGCATATAAAGACAAGACATATCTCCTTCCCAAAACACAATAAAAAAAACAAAATAAAGAAAACAGGTTCACAAAATCTCCCTCCCTACCATGCAACTCACTTGAGTCATTCGCTTAAGACTTTACTATTCAGTAGGAAAATCTTCACCTTATGTTCTTATTTTCTTTCTGATAGAACTAATCCAATCACTGCTAAAAATTTTTGATGGATTTCCTTAATGAGGACAGAAAGTCATAGATACTTATACTCCAGAAATACTATAATCTCTTAATTAATGAATTTTTAAGGAAATTTTCACAATACTTCATTTTTAAACTTGTCTTATTTATAGCCTTTCATGGAAGAGAAGTCTCCAGAAAAGATGAGGAGACTGAAAAGAAGCTTTTAAGGTAAGAAGCTGACATTTCCTTGAAAAAAATCAGAGCAAAATTTTCAGTAAACTCTCAAGTCCTTCCATTCAGGTCTATCCATTCATAGAACCATAGAAGCGTTTGGGTTAGAAGAGACCTTAAAAATCATCTAGTTCCAACTCCCCTGCCATGGGCAGGGACACCTCCCACTAGACCAGATGTCTTTTAGATTTGACACGCAAAATAAACAACTACTTAGAGTAGAATTTCACAGTTAATTTCATATCTAATAAACATGGTTTAGAAAGCACTGAAGTTATGAAGTCTCAGCAGTAAAGAAAGATAATACTCAAGGTAGCTTTTTACATATGCCTATGTTACAATTTTAACTGAAAGATTGCAGTGAACTGAATAGCTTTCTATGCTCTGTCCAGTCCATTTGCATTGACTGACATTTGGATTACTACTTACTGTGTTACTTGTAATTCAGTAAAGACAGTAATGCTGTGCCTGTTACCAGCCACAGGTCTCGTACTAGGGCCATAAGGTTTACTTTGTCTGGGCTTATCTTGGCTTGCTTGGGGCCATGTTTTAAATTTTTTAGCTGTTACAGCAACTGGCTAACGACAAGGCGACAACTACCTAATATGTTTCAGTTTCCTTTAGCTTTGTCTAACTGTAATGTGTTAAGAATTTCAAAATATATGGCAATAACTAGTATTTACATTCTGCAATGTTGTATAGCATCTAGCTGCTCTGGCATGTTGAACTACCTACAGCCCTATACGCTGCAGACAAAAGGAGTACAGATCTGAAGTGACAACAGGGCCTGGAAGATGAATTCAGAAGGCCCAGGGCTATCAATAACTCACCAGAGACCAGCTACTGATGGTAATGCAAACTTAGGAGCTGGGCAATGCTGCATTCACAGCTAACTCAGTTTTAGTAGTAACAGAAAAGACAAAAAAAAAGCATTTAAGATATGTAAAACTTAACCACTGGCCATCTGTTGTGCTGGATGCAGCCTACCATTAGATGTTTCTATTAATCGTTCCTCTGGGGAGTAGCAGCTAGGTAGCACAAACTTTGTTCCTGTTAACATCTATTTTTGTTCTCTTTAGTTTTGCAGGAAAAGCTGTAGCTGGAAGGCTTCACTTGTTCATTATTTTGTGCAGAAACATGGCTTACCACGGAAGCCTAGCTAAGGCTATGCTGTTGCTGGAATTGACTATCCCATCCTCCTCCTGCCTTGGGCTCCATGTTTCTGCCACCTGCCTCAGGCTGGAACAAGGAAAAGATTACTTTTTTACTAGATCAACAATCTGGGAACATTGTAGTTGGTATGAACAGGAAAAACGGGACAGCCATCACTTTCAGCAACAACTCAAAGTGGTTTGGGCATAAGCTAACCATAAAATTGAACCACTGGACAACACAAGTGATACTGAAGGAAACATACTTCCATGCTTTCCACTTCCATCACTTCAGGAAGTATCATTTTTTGCCCTTTACTCCTTCCATAGTCAGACCTCTGGTCCAATGCTGGCATCTTAAACTCTGTACAGATGCATAACTTAGAATTCTTGCCACCTTCATGCCTCTTTAGCACTC